CATGCGATGACTGGTCAGGAAGCAAAAAGTAGTCTGACGTGTCTTGTCCACGACACGACAAGATTTTAGGAGTCAAAATCACGTAATCTGACACAGTGACTATCGTAACAGACAAAAAAAATCGTGTAATCTGAACCAGGCATTAGTCAAGTGAGTGAGTGAGTCATTTATGCTGGAACCACTCCAAAAACTAACATCCAGCGACTCCAGTGATTCAGTCTGGTTTGCCAGATCCATTGAAAAGAACTGATTCAAACGAGTCATTCATTGCTTGATCTGATTCTAAATAGCCAACATAGAATACTGAACAATTAGGGTTTCACAATGCTACCACACTACTTAATCAATCAAAATGCTTTGCTACTGGAAAACTACATGCCTATTGCTTTAATTAGTAAGTTAATTAGCATCCCATTGGTCTCACAGTACCAAATGGCATTCTCAGCCACATTTACAGGATTTTGGTGACACAACTAGTAGCCCACTGTGAAGGGTAAGATGGGGCAAACTCTTGTCTTGAGGATCCTTTTCAATCCTAAAATGACAAATATGTCGGCCTATTGTGTTAAGGCTCATTCTCTGTGTTCAGCTCCATCTCACTTCCTTTCAAGAGCTCAATTCACTTGTAAATGCGCTGTTATCCACGCACAAGTACTGATGAAGAAAAGTGCGTCACGCAGACGACGGAAGTACTTTCAGCTTTATGGACTTCAAGCGTAGGCCAATGAAGCAGTTATGTGTTGCTTTAGATGACAGCATATCTCTGTTATCAGATCTGATAAATAAAACAGGTTTTCGCCGTTTCTATTGTCGATAGCACTCGAAAAGTCTTGTGGTGTAATCTTCCTCCCGCCTTATCCGGCTACAGTAATCCCAGCCTTATCTCGAGAAAAATACGTCACGGGGGTTTTTCTCTGACAGGTTTCTGATGCCTTATCATTGTGGCAGGGATTTTAACGAGGGAACCGGTAATTGCTCTAAAATCACAGTAATTACATGCAAAAGACAGGCCGTAATTTTGATTTTTCCCCAGAATCCAGAACAGAAGAGTGAATCACCATCCTATCTGTGTGGTTTGAAGAGCAGACGCGAATGGTTTTGAGAGATCTGTCCCCAGGTGCACACTGACATTTCACACTGACGCTTATCTGCATCGTGATTGGCTGCTGGAAGTGATCAATCAACAGACATCACGCCTCCCACAAAGCTCAGAGAATATGAATGCCGTTTATCGTGGGTAATAAACCTGCTGCGATCTCTGGTGGCCAGTGAGTCTTGTATGCTAGTGAATCTTGCGCTTTACAGATAAGGTATTCACAAAATCATAAAGGAACAATGCAAGGGAGCTACACCTGAAAAACATCACAGCGTTCCTCTCGTCTCTCAAAAGTCTCCCAAAAGCAGTACAAATCAACACAAGTTGATCTATGCACCACATCCCTTTCAAGCTTTTTTTGGGAAAAGATGTTGAATAATTTAATGCTCGCGATGTCTAGTTACAGTAGGTATAAAAACTGGTATATACAATCTGGATTGTATAATGAGCACAAAAGTGTTAACCCTCAGGGTTATTTCTGACCGAAAAAATTTCTGTTTTGAATTTTTAAAAATCACAGCTTCATTGGAATGTTACGTAACTTGGTGACTTTTATTGCATTATGTATGTGAATACAAAAAAAAAAAATTGAGGTGATGATAAGAGCATGCTAAGTGGTCGTAAAAAAAATAGTCACACTTGTGGTCTTCGGTCAAAAATGACCGACCCATAGGAAATGAATGGGAAATTGACAAAAAAAATTTTTAATTCTCTGAATTTTTGTACGTGCAATCTACAAATCGGCCACAATTCTAAAAAATAGTACACCGCAGGAAAGGGGTGACACTCTACAACATCTAGAGTGAAAAACAGACAAACACACACACACACTTTTATACACTTACACACCAATACATTTTAAATACATGGCATTATGTGAACACACAAAAAAATTGAGGTGATGAAAAGAGCATGCTAAGTGGTCTTAAAAAAAAATAGTCACACTTGTGGTCTTTGGTCAAAAATGACCCCTATAGGAAATGAATGGGAAATTGACAAAAATTCACAATTTTTTAATTTATTTTTTTTTTACATTTTTTTAAATAAAAAATCATTTTTGAGATTGTTTCAACTATATATTCAAATCCACCAAAAAAATAAATAAAATGTGTTCATAAACATCTGGGGAATTCAGATGCTTCTCCATAGAGAGCTGTACATGCCATCTAGTGGTTACACCATGATTCTACGCTTTTTCTCTATACTGTAACCAGATGGTGCTAATTTTCTTCAAAAAATATTTTTTTTCTGAAGGCCTATACTCTATATTAAACTAAAATACTGCATTAATATTTTTTTTGAAAAAAATAATATATATATAGAAAAATATATATATTTTTCCATGGCAAAAATAGACCATACATATTGCATAAATATGAATAAATTCAATCAAATTGTCTCAAAATACTAAATTACAAAGAATAAATATTATAGAACAAAAATAAATTGCATTGGTTTTACTGGGATGGAGGAAATTTAATTTTTAGGTGCCCGGTCACTTTTGACCGGGAAGATAACAAGTGTGACTCCGAAACGAAGAGCACCTGAAGTGTAAAACTGGATGTGTTATATAAACAGGAAGTGTATTAGATTAGTCTTCAAGAAACCAAACAAATTCTCAGATGTTGCATGAATAAAAATGGTTGGCATTCTCATAACAGTCTCATGTTTGCATGGGAATTGCTTGAGAAGGAGTTCCTGAAAAGGTAGTCGCTGTCATATCACGTCCATATGCACAGAAAGAACACGTCTCATTGATAATGAAAGAGCGCCGTGTGATGTAAACTCCCACACAGAGTTTCCATTTACCTTACAAACCGCATAACCATCACACGACCATTCAGATGCAACGGAGTCTGTTTGGCCGGACCTTCGAATGCAAACTTGTTGAAATCCATTATAGATTTCATCTGCTGATCCCTCTGTTTGTCACTCTATGAAAACAGCTCTCGGTCAGGCTCTATATATGTGACTGGACTGCCAAATGAGGTCTCTAGGGTAAATGAAGCTCCTGTTTGATGGATCCGAGGGAATCACGTTTATGTGCGTCGATCCCCACATCCTGCTCTAGTGCCCGAGGTCATGCTCACCCCATTACCACAATCCAGATCGCTAATTAATTATTTCTTTTAAATAATGGATTATGTGCAATCAGCTGGTCATTGGCGCAAAATAAGCAAATTATATTTGTGTGCATGCATATCTAATCATAATGTGCCGTATTAAGCATGTTGGCAATGGATTTAGTGTTATTTTTGAGGAATTCATCGTAACTCCAGGCTTTTTAAAGAAAATAAAATGCTGCTTTTAAATGGCACACTTATTATTCATTGCTATCTCCACTCACAGTTAACCCTCAAAGGGTCATAGAAATCAATATCACCCACTATGTTCGCAATACATGCAAGGAAAATATAAATGGTCCACAGGTGCAGGCAGCCATAAATCACCATGGACTTCTTTCTCTTCCTTTATCTGCAAGTCGCTTCAAATCAAGACAAATCATCCTGGCACAAAAATAATTGCACTTATCCATTATCATTTAAATGCAATTAATCATCTTCTAAGGAATCCGCCTCACTGTATCATCACGTTTGTGCAATGCAATACAGATTTCATCTTTAAATAATGTCTTCTAATAATAAGCTCATATTCAACCAGTGAACAAAAGACAGCCACTTCCAGCACACCATTATGAATATTCATACGTGTGAATCAATAACACAGCTGATCTCTTACATTGCATGTTGAGCTGTTATCAGGGTAAATCAACAACATTATACATAGGTTGGGTGGACATTTTACTACTAAATTTCAGAGTTGAAAACACATTAAGAAGGTAGTGTTGACTTTACACAACTAAAATTGTAAAACATTAAGACAATCTTTTATTGCATGAAGCAATTATGAGAATCTTAATCTCAAATGTAGCCTATGACTATTAAGCAATCCAAAAAAGGACTGTGTGGATATACGGGAAGGACTGATGATATTTGCAATGTGTCTTCTTTAAAGTTATTTCTGTATTGAAAATGAGGAACGAGAAAGCTCAGCTGGGATCCTCTTTCAAAACCAAAGGAAGATCCACCAAACTTATTTTTAACAACTTAAAAAAAATGCGTAAAATACAAATCCAGATACGTTTATGCAATTTCCTACCTAAAACAAAAAACTGGGGTTGATTGGGACACTTTCCCATGTCATCCCAATATCAAAACTGGTTCCAATCACCCTGAATTCAGCCTATATGTTGTATCACAGACAGGTAAAGCAGAAAACAGATAAGCTTCTCTCTGTATTCACGAGAGTGTTTACACAGTCAGTCAATCGATCAATGAGTGCAGGGATACAGCTGCTGTTCAACATATTGAGTATGTGATCGAGCAATGAACATGAGAGCACATCATACATTAATCACAGATCTCTTACACACGTATTCCGTCTAAATAACTCGCGAACTGTTGCATAAATCCGCATAATAATCGAGTTTGTGAGAGTAAGAAAAATCAATGAGAATGTAGAATGTACAATATTCGTATTTCAGCTCTCTGCATAGTTATTCAACTGTTGTAACACTTTAAACAAGAGGCATTGTGTATTATAGATACTTGAGGTAACGTAACTGTCCCCACCCCACCCATAAACAAAACTTCCTATAAATTCACCAAAAAAAATCCCTAGTCGATTAAACTAACGCTTTCTATCTATTTATCACGCGCAACATCTATTCAGTGCCGTTCCCAACAGCAGAATGATAGTTTTGGATAACTTCCCTCACTATAAACGTCGTGGATATATTCTGAAAGATGTTTTATTCTAGCTGAGGCGTTATGTGGTGATGCGCGCGCGTTTTCCCCCTCCAGCTGCGCGCGCTGTCACTCGCACCGGACTCCGGGTATCTTACCTGCACGAAACTGTGATCTCCACTTTGGTGGCGGGGATGTTGCCCGTTAACGGGTCGAACTCGTAGACCGAAGCCATGTCCTCCAGTTTGTCCATGATGTCTCCCTCCATGAGCGCGCGCGGCTCGGGGCAGTTCCACGGCTCGCGCAGCCTGGCCCCGCGGAGGCTGTCACGGTCCCGCTCGGACCACGCAGGAGTTAACAAGGCCAGGGTATTAATGAAGAGCCCCACTACAACTCAAGAAACTTGAACGGGGATGTTAAAGTCAGGGGGGAAGTCGCTTTAAACTGTGCTGGAGAGTCTGGTGGTCAGCAAAGAGAGGGAAAGATCTCCTCGGCAAATCAAGCGCTCTACATGTGCGCTCGTGAAGAGCATCCAGCCAGCGCGCGCTCCAGCCCTACCCTACTATCTGTGTTCGACACGCGCATGCGCACTGATGCTCTCTCCGGTGTGCTACACTCCGCACTGGCGTATGCCTACAGCGGCTTGAATGGCACGTCAATGAAAGGCGAATCACAATTATATTGTGCCAAAATGTATTCTATAGGCCTACATGATTACAGAACATGATTACCATGTGTAAAGAGAGTTCTTGGTCACAGCTGGGGTTAAGAAAGACTTAATTTACGATACATTTCTATTAGCATAATGTTTTATAAAATAGCAGCAAAACCTAAATAAAAACAACAACACTAACGTTCAATAAATCCTTAAACCTGTCATTTTAAAATAAATTAATAAATTATATAAATAAATTATTTCGAATTGTAGCCTATAGTTGCTATAAGGTTGCTATAGCAACCTGGCACATTAACACTGGATTTAACTGGTGTGTGTGTGTGTTCAAATCAAAGATGTCTTGTACCATAAAACTGTGAACTTTTGCTTGAAAAAAAACAATGAAAAAGGCCTAATCCACAATCTTACACAGAGAGTGAGAGAGGGAGTTTCATGAGCTATGCGTTTGATATGTGTTTCAGTAGCAATAATGTGGCACAAAATAAGGGATACTCCCTCTCAAAAGAACACGGCTATCTGGACAAATAATAGATTGAGATTTCAGCAATCAGGAAGTGTACCTTTGAGAAATCAAAGGAAGGAAGGAGCGAATACTGGAAATATTCATAGAAGTCATAAAATTATGACAGAATAAATTGAATTTTCTACTGAAACAAATATCAAAAAGATGTTTGCTTATAAAGCTCTCTCTGTTCCTCTCTTAGATAGATAGATAGATAGATAGATAGATAGATAGATAGATAGATAGATAGATAGATAGATAGATAGATAGATAGATAGATAGATAGATAGATAGATAGATAGATAGATAGATAGATAGATAGATAGATAGATCAAGGTTTGCAAAACAATTCTAGGAAGTACTTAAAGCAGTAACATTTGTGATAAGGTTGTTCCTTTTTTTTACTTATGAGAATTAGGGCATTTTTCGTTGTTTTTTAAGCAAAAGTTAATCAGTTTAAGATACAGAAAATCTTTTCTTTGACAAATAGTCAAATGTATAACTCTAGTGTGCGCACATCATCTCATCCATTCAGAAACTGAGTTAGAACACCCAAAGGTTGTTTTTGTTGTTGTTGCTCTGTCTCAAACGTGGATTTAATGTTCCCATATCTGTCTGCTATAAAGTAAACAGTAAAGATAAAGCTATACGGCACAGAAGTCTACAGCTAATCTTAAACTGTTCATTAAAGAAGAGAACCTGTTGATGCAGATGCATTTAACAACCATTAATCAAATCAAAATTAAATTTACTTCCGTTCCTCCAAACTGGCTATTGTCATGTAATCCTTAATTCAACTGTGCTACTTTATATACGATATATTGCTTTAACCTCAGGAGGGTGGCGGTCATATGATTGTTTTTTCTTCCCTGTAGCTAATTTCTAATTGGTTAAACTGACTGACCTCGCCTCATCCCCCTTCACGTCATTATTCATTGTTAATTAACAATCTTAAGGCGTCCACTAATGATTCTGTGCTAATTACTCTGTAATATTTACTAGCATCTTCCATTGCAGAGGACAGATAATTCCCCAAAAATGCATCCATAATAAATAAAGTAATAATGCATAAATAAAATGAGAGAGAGAGGGGGAGAGAGATTGGGAAGGATTGCATGAATTCAGCACCACTACACGTGGACAGCTCCCAAGAGCCGAAGTGAACAAGTTCAGCGTGTTTCCCCAGCGGCAGCTCAACCACAGAAAAGACACAGTATTTGCAAACACTTTCCCTGCTGCCTAAAAGCTAAGTGTTCAGTGTTTATCTGAAAATCATCTGCAAAAAAACATTAATAATGAATAAAATGAAAGAAAACCATGCATTTAACATGCCTATCACGGAAAAGCAGTGCACATTCTTATTTTTTTCAGGGAGTTCGACAGCAGCAGACCTTTTCAGAACCAAAAAAACATTTCCAAGAAACGCCAGAACACAGAACTAACATGGTAAATTCACACTAAGTCCTCACTTCTCCCTCAGGATGCGGGTCTATTAAACTCCACTGTTTTCCTCCCTTTTCCTTAGACGGTTTAAAGGTGCATTGTGTAATATTTAAGAAATGCAATCTCATACATAACTATGTTTTCAGCGTCGTATAAAGACCTACATAATGACCTGTTATGTTTTGAAACCTTTGATTGAGCCATTTCCCCTTACACTGAACCACGTTTCTACGGTGGCCCAAGACGGACAAACTACTACCGAGCGAATTTCGTCACCCGTGCAAAGAAGCTACACTCTAAACAGTGCTGGGTTGTTTGAATGCAAATTTTGGTAAAATATGGACAAACCCAAATGTTGGGTTAAAAATGTAATTTCAAATTTTACCCCAACTTAAAACTTTCAATATTTTAATTGCATTTTTAACCCAACATTTGGGTTTGTCCATATTTTACCCAAATTTGGGTTTAAACAACCCAACATTTTTTAGAGTATAGCTAAAGTCTGCGAATAAAACACTAACACAATGATGAACAAGTAACAATAATACTCGCCATTACACAATAATTACATATACATCATTTCTTTATTTTTGTAAATAACCTCATGCGTGGCCCTCAATCGGGCCATGGGGTTTATACGACCCCAATCGACTTATACTTAATAAAAAAAGGTTCCCTTCATCTCAGTGGAATAAGATTTTGTGACTATACATTATCTAAAAAAAAACTGTGCTTGATTCGATTGTTCTGAAGGTATGTAAAAAAAAAATGTTTACACTTCTGGTCTTAAAGGATCAATATGACCCCACATTGAAATTAATGGGAAATGTGAACTAAATATATTTTCTTCATGTGTCAAAAAAAAAAAAAAATACGGCATAAATCTGACATTTTCTACACAGAAATGAAGGCCTAGAACTAGAGCATAAATGCAATGCATCATAAAAAAAATTATATTTCATATGCAAGCTAATGGTGTAGTTGAGGAATTGTGTGGGATATGGATACAAAAGTACTTTATATCTCCAAAAACACAGCATTAATAAATAGATGAGAAGTAAACAAAAAAAATATGATATATTATTTGTATGATTAAAAATGTATATTTTTCGTACAATTACTCAATCAATTGTTGGGGTCGTATAGACCCCGAAGTGTAAACAGGAAACGAAGACCATTTGAAGGTTAACTGACGACATCTTTTCCTGTCAGCCACCGTAACTTCTAATGGTTACAATTCGCAAACTCGCCACTAGATGCCTCTAAAATATACACACTGTACCTTTAAGTAAGCTCTGGAGCCACTTTGGAAATCAACGGGCACGGAAACAGCCTCACGCTGGCATGAGACCACCTCGTACCCTCCCGCATGAGTCACGAGTGTAAAGGCAATGTTAATGGGCATCGGGATGGGCGAGTGGGAGGACGTGCAGATGTCCTCCTAGTTTTGAGGTCTAATTGAGCCTCATGCGGTGCCTTCCACACCACACCAATGAGAAAAACCACTGCCAGTGTTCAACTTTGACCCCGTGACAAATATTAATTAACACCCAGTGCCAAAAAAGCCATAGTCAGAGATCTGATGGCGATGCCAGGGTGAGGAAGGGATGCAAAACTGGATCTCCGAACTGGAAAACCGGGACCAGATGGGAAGGCGAAGCTGCCACACAGAACAAAGACAGGAAAGAAGAATGTTTTCCATAATGTCAGCCAAACTGCACCATTCACTGTGATTTGGGGCTTTAATTACTGTGTTTCTTCCACATTGCGTCAACGGGGCCAGAAATAGGCCTGTTTGAGTGCAATTAAACGGAGGGAATTGAAGGGGTAAGGTCCAAATGAAGACCCTTGCGAAGTCTTGATGAGATGATTAATACGGGTGCGAAAAGGTCTGGGGGGTCAAACACAGACAGGCTTATACTTCCCATCCTGCTCGGCATCTAAGACACAATTTGTGTGAAGTCACATCTATTGTGCCGCCATCTTTTAAATCGCAGTCCACACCAATATGTTTTCGGTTGAAGAAGACGTGTCAAAACCAACCACCTGACAGTTTAATGTAACGTTAACCAATAAAGCTGGGTGCTTTCTTAAGTTTGATCATTCATCTGCTATGTCATGTTTATGACAGGTTGTGTTGTCTTAGTAATGTCAAGTTGTCATGAGAAAGACACTGACAGGTTATGTTGTATTGGTTTATGTCAAGGTGTCATCTCAAATTTGCATTAAAAATGTCATAATTGAGCGAAAGACACTTAATGACAGTTGTAACAAACAGATGTCATGATGACAATAAATACTGTGCGTTTTCTCACACAAACCGCTCGTTTCGTGTCTTAGGCCATCAATGTGTACTTACATTTACGAGTCATTAAATCATGTTTAATTTGGACTTCTCTGTGCATGCTCTTTGAGGTGGTGACCATAGACCTCCATTATAAGACTGATAGACAAGAACGGTTTGACCTAAAAATATCAAAATTGAAAATACTGCGGAAACAAAGACACCTACATCTTGGATGCCCTTGAGGTAAGATAAAACATACCAAAAATTAATTTCAAAGTGAACTATCCCTGTAATTTCAAGTTTTAGACCGACTGTCCGAAATCTCGGTGTGCCTTTTGATAGTATCCTGAAATTTGATAAACAAATTGACAGTGTGGTAAAAGCAAGTGTTTTTCAACTATGTCGACTACTGGTCAAGATCAAACCATTTTTAAATCGCTCGGATCTTGAGAAAGCTATTCCTGCTTTTATTAGCTCAAGATTAGACTACTGTAACGCGCTTTACGTGGGAGTCTCACGCAGCTCGTATTTTAACTAATAAACCAGCCCGTTCTCATCCTTTAACGCTATATGCAAAAACGGCGCTATACTACGCACATGGCACCCTTTATCGTTAATATAACACGCGAACCCAAGACGTTATA